CCGGCCCCCCCCCCCCCTCCCCAAAGGCAGCATTAATTTGTTGCGCATCGAGGTACATCGATACATTTCGCATTCATTTAGGAAACGTTTCATCGTTTGTGTTGCATGTATTTTCTGAAATCGTGCTTCGCAACATGCGAACATATATATTCGATATAATATTATCAAAATCGAGAAGTGAAGAATCAATGAAAACTTACCCCAGTCTGCCCGATACAAGAACAACGAGTCGGTGATTCGATATTATTGTTTCTCTTCCTCGCGAACGAACACTGCTGCGGCATATATATATAACACAGGCACAGAAAATTGCGACGAGAGACGCGAAGAATATTGCAGACGTGAGTTTATAACTCGATTCAACGCGAAAATAATCTCTCCAAGCTTTTCGGCGCAGCTTTCCAAGCTTTTCGAAGCGAGCACTCGACACCGAATTGCACGAAAGAAGCACCGATCACACACTTTTTGTCCCGATGATACCGCGATCGCGATCGTTCACGGTAACATTCCGCGCGAAATATGCTCAAAAGTAACCCCAAACTCCGTCTGTGAAAGACGAGATTGCCGCGCGCACATTTTCGATCGAAGAAACTACAGAACGCGTCACCGTCGAATGTGACACTGGCAGATCAACTTCCGAGAGCACAGCTTCCGCGCCAGGTGGCGCTGAGCTCGCCGACCGCAGCGACACCTATGCGAACGAGGGTACACTTGGATCGAACTTCAGGTGGATCAGCGAGACCAGAGGATCGACCGCTGCAATGAAGATCGGAGCGTCGTTTCGCGAAACGTTTTCTTATTAAAAATTGTGAACTGTGTTGTGAAGTGTTGAACCAAGAAAAACGACGGACCGGCTCGTGCAACGAGGCTTCTTGCGCTTCAGTCGGGGGATGCATCTTTCCTGAAACAGGTAAGTTCGATTGTTGGTTATTATTAATCGGATCATCGGGAAGACGCACTTTCGATGCAGCGTGCGCCGGTTCCCTTTGCGCACGCGTCGACAAGTAATCTTTTTCTCGGTCGTCCGGTAAAATTGTTCTTTTCTCCGAATTGAAATCACGTCGATCGTAGAATCATTTCGACACATTTTCGTTTTGCAAATAACTCTTGCACTGTTTCCTTTATTTTTGGCATTACGAAAATACATGCATTTTACCAGAGTATTAGGGATTACGTGATAAAAGTTCCGACGACGCCCTCCTTCGTTCGCCTTCATTCTTACAAGTCTAAGATCGGTGTGTGAAATCAGTCGTACGTTCCTTGCGAGCCGAGCTTCCGGTTGGAGAACGCTTTCGTAAACGATTATTATTATTATTATTACGGTCGCCGAATCATCGAGATCGAATATATATCGTTACAATTTAACTGTTTTCGCGTCAAATTATCGTCTGTCGTTCGATTAAATGTTGTTAGTTTCTTTTTTTTTATTTTTATTTTTTGCGGAACAGCATGGAACACCGTGTTGCCATATTGTTGTTTCTATTTTTCAAAATGGCGAGAGAATACAAATGAATGTTTACCGAGGTGGCGTAGACTTTCGAACACGACGGAAAGAAATGAGAAGCATTGAACAACGTAATCGAGACCCTAACGGCTTTATAGGTTCTAATTTATAAGGTAATGATTATCGCTAATTAATCAGTCGGAGAAACGTTTCTGGTGCTCTAACGGTATCTACGAGAGTTCAAAGCTCGCCGAACGAAGAGGTCAGATCGAGGGGCCAGGCTGTCGAGCGTAGGAGACTTTTTGTCTGTCGTGAAGTTAGGTTAAGTTTCGAAAATCGGTTTCGATGCTCGAGAACAGCGACACCTCCGTGTCGCTATGATACTAAAGTCGCCCAAATAGGCGACCGGAAAAGAAATATTAATGAACGCTAGAGAAATTGTTATTTAATCGTTTCTTGCCGTTAATAGATAGCAACGCCGGCTGGATCAGAGCTGGGCATTAATATTTGATGACTATTTCGCGATTATTTTTGTAATTGATCACGAGAGGCAGTCGTGGTCGTGTCAATATTTTAAATATAATAATATTATACTGTTATGATATATATACCGTATTAAATAACATATAACATGTTATTATGATATATATACCATATTAAATAATATATAACATATTATTATAATATATACGCCATATTAAATAATATATAACATATTATGACAATATATATAATATTTAATTTAATATAATAAATTATATTCACGATTATTATCAAACACCAGAATATGAAATTTGTCATTTAATCGTAATCAAAAGATATAATCATTACATGATCAAGGATTACTACGTTGGTTATAAGGATATTTCAGAATAATAAATAAGAATGTTTCAGAATATTTCAAAATATTTCAGAATATTTTCAGAATATTTCAGGACATTTTCAGGACATTTTTAGAACATTTGCAGAACATTTGCAGAACATTTTCAGAACATTTGCAGAACATTTTCAGAATATTTCAGAACATTTCCAGAACATTTTCAGAACATTTCCAGAATATTTTCTCGCCCAACTCCGATTGGAAGTGAAAGAATCTCGACCCACCACAGAAGCATCGCTCTAATCGAACAATCGAAACCAGCTTCGCTAACGAATCGCGCTTCGTGTCCGCGGCAAATAGAGAATTTCTCACCTGCGTCCTATCTAACAATCGTAAGGCGTTCATCGTACCAACCGAACATTTATAATGAGATACAGATCGCAGTCATTACCAGCAACGAGATCAGGAGCAGAGACTGTGTCCACTAATCGAAGGAACAACGCGAAATTTTCAGGTAAGTTGCACCGGAAATTTCAATTCGACAATTACGGAAAAAAATTCACCGCTCGCGTGCGATATAAAAACTCATCACCGACGACACAGAGATTTCGCGGAGCACCCAGGGGACTACGTCGAAATTAAACCTTCAAGATCAATTCAAGATTAGAATCAAGGTCGGTGCGCTTCTTTTTCCAGCACCGTGGCATCGCGAAATCTCGAAAGCTCGAAAGCTCGGAGGCTCGAGAATTCGAAAGGTGCTCCCACGCAGCGTTGTTCTCCCGGCGAACACAGTTCGCGCCCGAAAGCTTCGACAGTAATGACTGTGTAGGTCTACCGAGCACTAGAGATTACAAGAAAAAGGAGTCTAGATCGGCGAGACGGCGTAGAAAAATGGGAACCATTCGCGCCTAGACCGATCGAGAAGGGGCGGCAGCTGATATTCCGCGGATGCCGGCTTCGCGAGCCACGAATTTTTGGGACCGAACGGTCCCCTTGCCTGCGAAGAGGTCGCTGGCACAGCCACGTGTGCGGAGCAGACGAGAGGCCCGCTTGAATCCCGGATTCAAGCGTTCGACTTTGGCGACCGCAGATTCGACATTCTGGCTCTAGCGCTCGGTTTTCTCCGGCGAATCGGAGCGGATGGTTTTCGAAAGGATTCACCGGGAAGACGAAAGAGAATCGAGGACAATTATTAAGAAGGAGCGAGGGGAACGAACGAATTTCATCGGGGAAAAAGGACGCAAAGTTCGAGGAAGATTCGAGGAAGATTGCAGCGAGGCTTCGCAAATTTTGGCGCGCCGCGTTCCGGTCGCGCGGACAGCTTTTCCCGAGGCAATGATCCTGTGCCTTGACTTATGAGCTCGACAACGCGAGTAAGATAGTTCTCGCGTAGTCCTCGTTCGCCGCTTCAGAGCACCGAATTGCGTCCCGAGTTGCATCGATACAGAGAAGTCTCTCGGGGTCCAGCTGCGCGCTAAAACCATCCGCTCCGCTCGATCGGGCCACGCGCCAATGGGACGCCGGCGGCTGCGGGAACCTTAGAAGTCTCTGATTAGATACAGATTATTGTCCAACGGCGATTAGGCTCCGATACGGGTGTCCGGGCAGGCTCAAAGGACACGGCGCCCGCTCGGAGAACGAGCTCTCCGCGCGCTTCCGCCGCGTCTGTTCGTCGCGTTCCCGCGGCCGGATCTCCGTCTCCGTGCACTTCGCAGAGAAAGAGAGCCAGAGAGAGCCAGATAGACAGAGAGATAGAAAGAGAGAGATAGAGAGGAGAGAGACGCCCCGGGTCGACGATCGGAACAGGCACGACGCGGCTCTGACGCGGGCTAAGGCAATCGGATGGCGCGGCCCCGCTTTGTCCGGGTTCACGTGTTCGAGGACGTGATCTTGAAGTGTTGCTCGGCCTGGTGCGCGTGCAGAATGAACGCCTTGAACGCGGCGAACGGGCAGAGCGGGCACTTGAATTGCGGCGGTTCGCACTTGTGCTTCAGATAGTTGCTCCACATCTTGTAGAACTTGCTGCACTTTGTACACGTGTAGCCGAGAACCTGGTCGCCCATGTACATCTTCCGGTAGGCTGAAAACAGAGGGACCAAGTTAGAGTGACGGCGGACCAGCGGGGGAGCGGCGGGGGGAAGGAGAACGGAGGCTCTCCCCGAGGCAGCGGAAGCGGCCCGCCCGGCCGCGGAAACTTCGTGAGCGCTTTTCGATTAAGAGAGTCAGAAGAGAGGGTCATTCTCGTTTTCTCTTTCTCATTTTCTTTGGCTTTTTTTAGGCCGGCACGAAGGAATCTCTCGGAGGATCTGGGGGATGATGTCGGGGATATCTGCGACTTTTTTTCGTGGAACGCGCTCGTCGCCCACGCGCGACTTCCTTTTCTTTTTCACCGATGCGGCGCTGCGGAAATGCGGTGAGTTCGAAAATATTATTCAAAGTATTTGAGACGAGGTTTTTCGTTGCCGTTCGGCGACCCGCGAACGTTCTCCTCGCAGAGCGGGCCTTTTGTTCCATCGTTTCGTGACCACTAAGAGACGGAGCTATCGCTACAAAGAGATTTTATTTCGACAGGATTCTTATACATTCGTCGTCGTTGATAATGACGGTCGATCGATAATCACGCGGGAATAATACTTATCGGAAGTGTACCGTAAATGCATCGTGACGAAAGACACCTTTCGTTCGCTCGCGCGTGAAAGCTTGCAAGCAAGTATTATTATTTATCTTGCAAAACGGAGGAGAACAAAAATCTAGGCGCGGAGTTCTGCGGTACGGCGACGCAAAATTGGTTCTGTTCTCTTGTTTTTCTTGTTTCTTTTTTTTTTTGTATATCACAGGCACCTTAAGGCAGCTCGGGACCGCGTCCCAAACGCTCGCCTAGATATCGTTGAACGCGCGCGCGCGAATACGCGCGTCGCTCCGGCAGACCAGAATACAAAAATCAATGTTTCGGCGTTCTTAAAAGTACACTCGCTTCTTAAAAAAGAAACCCGAGGCGGCGTTCTCTCTCTCTCTCTCGGAGCCTCGAAATGATACGCACGAAAAAGGGTCCGAAAGGGTTTTAGCGCGGGCCGCCTCTGCCCAACGCTTCGAACGAACGAATCGACGGCTTCGCGATCGATTCGAAGATACTCGATTCCTCGGCTCAAAATTTCCCGCGCCGGCGCGTCTGTACTCGAAGCGTAGAAACCGTTCCGCGAGGAAATCGCGATTGTAACCCGATTCAACCCTTTCGTCGCGAGCCGCGGATGTAGCTGGCATCCTCGCGATGTCCTCTGCGCGCGAGAGCGCCCGCTGTGGCCGAGATCGCTCTCCTTTCCAAGCTTCGTAACGCACCCTTGCGTGCACCCTGTTCAGTTAATACGCGCCCTTCTCGGCGCGGCGACCGAGAAAAGCGAGCCGCGCGGAGCTCGTCGCGACGAAAGGGTTGCGGAACGGTCGCACCCCGAAGCGAAGAACGCCGTCTCGAGCCTCCCTCGACGTTTCCGTATCATCGAGAATATTCGCGCGTAGAAGATCAGCTCTTAGAACATCGATCAATTCTGTACATTGCTGTGATGCCGCTTTTTATGGTTCTCGATGCACCATTTGTGGGGGCTCTGGTAAGGGCAGGCCTCGCAGGCAAGCTTCGGCTTCGCGTTCACGCATTCGAACTTCCGGTGCCGCCACAGCGACCTGTGAACCGCGTAAGCTTTGCCGCAGTCGGCGCATACGAAACTCCTTTCCCGAGGGTCGGCCGGCGATCCGTTTGGCTGCCGTTGGTCGGCCCGCCGATTGTTTCTGGTCGGCCCGTCGAACACGTACACGGTCTTGTAAGGCCATAACAACGCTGAAACAACAACATCGAGTCCGGTTAATATAGGTATGTCGGCGACGACCGGATATGGAAGTTCGCGCGTCGTTCCGGTCGGACACATACGCCATCATATCACACGAATGAACATAGTTGCGTTTGTTTCTTTTTTTTGTTCTTTTTTCGACGGATCTGACCGCTCAGAGAAGTTCGTTACCTCTTTTCTCGCCCGATCGCCGGCACCCTTCCGTCGCCGGCACCCACCTGAAAAGATTTTTTGGAACACGTTAGAGACCCACGCGGACGACATTGCCACCGATAATCAAATAATGCTGCTCGATGGTCAAAGGACACACACACACACACGCACGCACGCACGCACGCACACGATCGTAATGCCTCGGTGAAACGTATCGAATCTTTTTTTATTGCGTTCACGAACGGATTACAAAGAAGTTGCGGGCGCGGCTCGATCTCGGCGAAAGTCACGCCGAGTTCCATTGCGCCTCGAATCGGCTGTTACAAAATACGCGCGAACGGCGCGCCGTTTAATTAGGGGTGCGTTCTACACGGTTCTATTTGCGTCGGCTCTCTTCTTCTCTCTCTCTCTCTCTCGCTCTCTTCCTTTCGGCATCGCTTAATGAGCGCGACTCGTCTCGTCGCGCCGATCGCAAACGGAAGACAGAGTACGTCGATCTCTCTCTCTCTCTCTCTCTCTCTCTCTCGCTCTCTCTCGCCTCTATTACGGCGCGTCTATGCGCGCGGCTAGGGAAAACCGCAAGGAGATCCGAAGTGTTCACGGATGCGTAATACTGAAATTCTGTGCGGGACGCGGTGGAAAAATTATCCTAGATTACGTGTACAATCTCCGCGGGGGGCGGGGGAGTATTACAATCGTTCGAGTCGTGGTTTCTCGCTGTTTCTTACTCTCTATCGATTCTCTCTAAATACTAGACGGGGTGTCCTGAAACCGGAAGCTTTCGAGTACCTCGCTGTTGAAATCGTTTTCTCGACGGGTCGATTGCTCTTTTTTTTAACGGAAAATGTCGGAGCTGCGTCGAACAGCTTGTAAAAATATATATATACGGTTCTAACGAAGAAAGCGAAATTCTCGAGATCTTCGAGAATTCTCCAGCTGAAAGAAAGATATTATTGTAGATCTACCCGAATCGAGCAACTTTTGTTCACAGAGCTTTTCGATATCTCCGGAAATTACGGAGGCGTTTAGGTGGCCACGTTTAGCTGGGCCACCCGCTATATGTCTGGGAATACAGTGTGTTCCGTAATTATGTTAACAGCCGGAAACGGGGGATATAGCCGTGGCCATTTGATCAGGGTGTTCCAAAATTATGGTACGTCCGGGAAACGAGAGATTCCTGGGGTGATTTCGAGCAACTTTTTCCTTTACAGAAATTTTCTCCGATGCGTCGTTTACGAGTTATCGACGAAAAACGTGGAGCAATCGGAGAGCGAGCGCGGCCGGCGCTCCGCCCTCGCGCGTCACGCCGCCCGTATGACGCGGCGGCGGTGGTCGCAAGGGCGGAGCGTCAGCCGTGCGCGATCCGTTATTGGTCAGCGTTTTTCGTTGATAACTCATAAACGAAGCCGCGGATCGAAGTTTCGCTAAGGAAAAAGTTGCTTCGAATAACCTCAGGAATCATTCCTTTCCGAGTGTTAAACGTAATCACGGAACACCTTGCACAGGACATCTACGAAAAGTTGGGAGTCCCAGATATCTGAGAATCTATATTTTTGCGTGTACAATGCTCGCCGAGGTATTCGTACACAAGGGTGAATTTTATTCGATTTAATTCGATTGGTCTTTTAATAATGCGACGGGTAATCGAGGAAGAGTTCTTGTTCTTTCAGTTTTGGTGATAGAAAACTTTGCTATTGGCAGGCTATAAAAACATTATCGGAAACAATATAATTCGTCGTTAACGGTTGATTTACATTTTAATCGCCTTGGCGACGATCGTTGATTCGTTTGACACGAGTCGAGCTCGTATTCGAATTAATTTACTAATATCTTCTAAACCGATACGAAATTCGATTCTTCTGTCGTCGAGCAGTCTTAAAAACACCTTCGACCCTTCACGAGCACGTTCATAAAAAAAAAAGTTCCAGATCAAAACCGTTGTCGCGAGAAACATTTCTCTTTGCCCAAAACTGTCGAGGAAGGGTTTTCGGGTGTCCGCCTTCGATTGCTATAGCTCTCATCTACACTATATATTTTATATATATACATTATATATTTTGGACAGCGGATATTTATGCAAAAAGAAAATCGTCTGGTTAGACCGTAGTAAGCAGAAGCAGAATAAAAATGTATATTCTGTAATAGTAAATTTAATAGGTCGAAAATAATAAAACGGTATACATATCATTGTATTTTACCAGCTAGTGAAAGGGTGAAAGGGCCCCTCGAAGTTCATCGGATGAAATACGAAAGATTTCTAAATACGAAAACTGGCGAATATGAAAAAGAAACACGTACCTCTTATTTTTTGGTTGTCTAGGACAGTGGGACCGATTACTGTGGAGTGACCAATTACCGTGCCTTTCGAACCATTGAGCGTTCTCGTTCGGCGCTGTTCCGCGTTAATAACGTACTTCTAAACAAAATAAAAGGATAAATAAATTTGATACGTCTTGCGCGACAAATACGAAGTTACTCAGGCCGAAGAAGAAGCCAGAGGCACAGCATTTGGTCAGCCCACGGTAACCGGCTCCACTGCCCTCTAATACAGAGTATCCCAAAATTAATGTCGAAGCGAGAAGCGAGAGGTTCCTGAGGTGATTTCAAGCAACCTTTCCCTTTACAAAAATTTTCTCCGCGGCTTCGTTTACGAGTTATCAACGAAAAACATGGACCAATCGCGAGAGCGAGCGCGGCCGGCGCTCCGCCCTCCGCGGCGGCGGTGGTCGCGAGGGCGTGGCGTCAGCCGTACGCGGCCTCTCATTGATCAACGTTTCTCGTCGATAACTTGCGAACGAAGCGGTGGATCGAATTTCCGTAAAGGAAAAAGTTACTCGAAATAACCTGAAGCATCTTTCACTTCAAACACAACAATTTCCGAACACTCCGCATATCCGAGCACCAAAGCAATCAGCAGCGGCTTAAAAGCCCCTCGTCGAGAGTTACTCGAACGGTCCTCTCCGTGCGAAAACGCGGCTGCTTATCGTCTACCGCACTCCAACGATTTGCGAACACATCGAGGAGAGACGCTCGTGAAACCTCATGGTGTCCCTTCATCGAGAACGAAACGTTCGGGACAGCTGATCGCGCCGCGGTCTCTAGCTACCGTCCTACTACTGTTTGCCGGGGTCGGCGTTGGGTGCGCAATGGAACGTCTTCATGTGCCTGCGCACGCAGAACGAGTAGTTGCTGCGGAAGTTGCAGAGGTCGCAGCAGAACTTCAGCACGCCGGTCTCGTGTACGTTGCGCACGTGCCTCTCGACGTTCGCCTTGTAGGTGCTCTTGTAAGGGCAGAACGAGCAGGCGAAGTGCGAGCTCCTCGGGTTCATCCGGCAGCCGAGCCGCATGTGCTTCCTGAGCAGGTTCTTCAGCGGGAACACCTTCTTGCAGAAGCCGCACATGTGACGCTTGTGGACGACCGAGTAGCCTGGCACGGCGAGCGGCGTGCCGCCGCCGCCGCCGTCGCCGCCGGCCGTCCCTTGGCCGGTCACCCGGAACTTCTCAAGCTCCGGATGTAGCGGCATTCCGTCGACGGGGTTGCCGGCGTAGCCGTCGACGTAGCCCGGCACGTTCCACACACCTGGAACAGATCGAGAGAAGAACGGATGAAGCGGCAGTTCGCGGATCGGCGAGGACATCGTTCCGCCGGAACGAAAGGAAACGGTCGGAAGCTATCGCGTTCGAAATTTCTCTACCGTGATCGTGCCACGAAATCGAGTCGGGTCGAGCATGTCCTTCGAACAACCTTCTTTTTATTGAGAGTGTGAACAACGAAGGAGGGGAGGCTGTATCGTAAATGGGCGTGGCCGGAGAGAGGGCGTGGCCGGAGAGGCGGCGTGGCCGGAGAGAGGGCGGGCCGCCGACGTCAGAACTTACGGACAAGGTGCACGGCAAACCGGAGACACACTGTTTGCCCGTGCGACAACTTAGGGGATCTACACTGGTCGACGCGCGTTAGTTCGTCATCACTGTCATCACTGTTCCACCTCGTCCCCGCGAGAAGCTTCGACGTCCCCCGCGGCGCGGCGGCGTGCGCGTCACTAAGCCGGGAACTGCGAGTGCACGTGTCTCATGTGCCTGAACAGAATGTCCTTGCGGCTGGTCCTGTACTCGCATATCCTGCAGCAGAACATCGGCGGCAGCCCGCAGCCGGTGCTCAGATGGCGCTGCAGGCTCGCCTTCCACGTGTACCCCTTGCCGCAACGCGGACAGATGAAGATCGGCTTGCCGGACTGGTCCGACGCGTCGTCCAACAGATAGCCCAAGTCCGGCCCTAAAAAATCAAAATTCCGCCAGTTAGAACAAGAAATGATCGCACCCGGTGCACAACACGTCCGGCCTTGTCGGACCTGGAACAACAAGAGAACAACGAACGGGCGATGCGATCGCGTTGTTTCGTCGCGGATGGATGCGAAAGCATAGCTTTGCCACGAACGGAACACGTTTCGGATCGTCATCGCGATAATGGACGGGAGGAG